CCGCTCGTTCGAGGATGTCACGAACGTACTGGTCCTGGGACATTGAGATGGTGCGGTTCTCCCGATCACGCTCGATTTTTACGCCCAGAAGCCAACTCGATGGTCCCAAGTCGCGCAGTTTGAAGTGTTGACTGAGCTTGTCAATAAATTCACGCGCTTCAGCGGTTGACTTGGCGGCGATGGTCATGTCGTCGATGAACACGGGGACAATAATTCTCGTGCTTGATTTGTCAGTTGTGTAGACCCAGACACTGTGCTCGCAGCGAACCCGTGTGAAGCCCAGGGAAGTGAGGACTTCGTGAAGCTTGAGATGCCATTGGTGGCCGGCTTGCTTAAGCCCATAGAGTGACTTCAACAACTTGAGCGCTTGACCAGGTGGAATATATGTCGAGCCCTCCGGCAATTGCATGTAAACATCTTCGGAGATGTCGCCGTAAAGATATGCAGATGATATGTCAACGCTCCAGAGTTCCAGGTCCTCGATGGCGGCAAGGGCAAGAATCATTCGAAGAGTGGCCCATTTTGGTGTTGGGGCGAACGTCTCGGAGAAATCGAAGCCAGGGCGTTGTGAGTATCCCTTTGCGACCAATCGGGCTTTGAAGCGCTCGATGGTTCCGTCGCCGTTCAGCTTGATGCGAAAGACCCATCGGTTTCCAATGGCTTTTTGTCCCTTGGGCAACTCGACCATCTCAAACACACCCATCTCGATTAGTGACTCCAGTTCACGGAGCGCTGCAGCATGCCATTTTTCGGCTTCTTCTTTTGGCAACTTCATGGCCTCCTCATACGTTCCGGGGCCAGCGAGGGTGGTCGATAGCGCCTTTTGTTGCGCCCTCTCGTAGGCAATTTTCAGCGCTTCCCGAATCGTTATGTAAGTCGCCGTAGTGTTTGTCGCTCGAGCGTTTTCGTCCCAGTGACCTTGGTAGTTCCATGGTGCTTTCTGGTTTTGCTGGTTGTTACGAGTTCGTTGTCCTCGCCCAAGTCCTGGGGGCATTTGGTAGAGTCCTTCTTTTCCTGATGCTTGGAACTCTTGTGGTGCAAGTCTTCGTGGGAGTGGAGGAGGAAGACGTGTGTCTGATTCGGATTGATCAGATTCGAATCTGAGTTGAAGCGAGATGGTAGATCGCTCATTGGCGAAAGCGGCGGAGAGCGAATATCGGGGAGCAGGGGAGAATTCACCAATGATGGTGTCGCTGGTGTGCTGGGATTGGTTGGTGTCCCTGGGGGCGTTGGATATGCTTTGGTAAGGCGCTCCATGTCGCTGAAGTCAGGCGCTCCCCCTCGACGTGGAGCGTCATCAACAGGGTCGGTTTCTATTGAAGGGCTTGTGGTTGTTGGAGGGCTGTGCTCAGTGTGAGACAGGTATGGCTGCGGTGGCTGTAGTGCATTTGGGTTTTCGAGTGGCCAGTGATTTCCGGGTAGGACACGTTCGTCGAATTTCGCATGTGATGAAATTATTGTTCGTTTTCGCTTGGTGTCCCAGAATAGCCAAGCCTTCGAGTTTGCGGGATACCCAATAAACACCATGAGTTGTGTCTTTGATTGAAATGACTTCCGCTTCTTCTTCGGTATAAGGACATATGCGAGGCAACCGAAAACGCGCAGATGACCGACATCTGGCGTCCGCTGGAACCAGCCTATGTACGGCGACTTCGTTAATGAATTTTCGGTTGGGAGGCGGTTTGTGGCATAGTTGATAGTGGAGACTGCGTATATCCAGAAGCTGAGCGGAAGTTTGGCTTCATGAAGCAATGCTGTTGAGCCTTCTTCCAGTGTGCGATTTGCGCGCTCGGCGACACCATTTTGGTGCGGCTCCCCTGGTTCCGTTTCCCTCGGGGGTTATTCCATGGGCAGCTAGTTTGCATTTGAAGACAGCGCCAATGTATTCCCCCCCTCCGTCGTTTTGGAGGAAGGCTATTTTATACTCTGGGTGTTGAGCTTCGGCAAGGGCTTTGAAGTCCCAGAATCTGTCCTCCATGTCGCTTTTCCGCTTGAGGAAGTAGACCGCACGTAGCTCCGTGTAGTCGTCGATGAATGTAACCCAGTATTGGTAGCCTTCACGACTTGTTACTGGAAGCGGGCCTTTCAAGTCGGAGTGGATGATTTCCAGCGGTCGGGTGGCTCGTGTGCGAGGGCTGCGCGAGACGTGTCGGTGTTGCTTCCCGGCAATGCAGGGCTCGCATATCGGATCGGCTTTCTGGTCGTCCTTTATTATAGCGCCGTTTACAGTCCCATTTGTGATAGCGTCGCGGACACGATTGATGCTGACATGTGCAAAACGACGATGCCAGAGTGTTTCGTCTTCAGGCAGTGTGCTTCTCTGTGTGGCGTAATTACTGTTGGCGCTTTGGGCGTCTGAGTTGTTGGTGGCGGCTACGAGGGTTGTGCCGACAAGGATGGCCTCGTTGTTTTGTGTGTATTCTGCCGTCAGCGTAAGGCTTCCGCATTTGAAACGTAGCCCTGTCGAGTCTCCTTCGAATGTGCAATTCCGTTGTCGTACCAGGAAGAGTGCCGAGAATAGGTTGCAGCATAATGCTGGTACGTGCAGTACTTCGGTAATTTCGACTTCCATGCCATTTTGTAGCTGGAGGATGATGCTCCCAGTGCCTTCGGAATACACTACGGAGCCGTTGGCAAGTCGTACGGGAATGCAGCATGGTTTATACTTGATGAAGTATTCGCGCCGGTGGGACATGTGTCGTGTGGCGCCAGTGTCGACAATCCAGGGCAAGTTCGTGGCGTTAGAGACAAGTTTGCTGGTAGCAGAACTTGCATATTCCATTGGTCCGTTAGTGGGGCAATGTTTTGTGGTTTGCCTGGCAAGCTGCGCTATGACAGCGCGTGGCCGAATCGTGAGCAACGGGCGCGTCCAGGAGCTTCCATGCTCGGGGCCCATAACCTGTTGAGCGCGGAGGGAGTCCGGGACGAGACTGCGTCGGAGCGGTCAATGCCAAATGTATTTGGTAGCTACAATACATACCTGCGTCGGAGCGGTCAATGCCAAAGAGCAGTGACCGTCACGACGCAGGGCTTATACTACGCGGTGTGACAGGACGTGGATTATTGCTCTCAACAATAATTGGGGTAATAATAATGTGACACTATTTTTTGATAAATATTTGGGCTCCAATGAGGTGTACTTACTGTAATAATTTATTCAATTCGGCGGCGAAAAACTGCGTGACATCGGTGCCGAAATGAAAATTTCGGCACTGCGTGGTAATCTGTGTGACCGCCGAAAAAATTCGGCATATTCAGCGGCCGCTGGAGAAATTTTGATGCTCTGATGGCCGTCTGACATTCGGCATCTGAATAATAAGTTGTGACACGCCGAAATATTTTGGCGCCGGAGGTCCGGTGTGACGCGTGACCGCCGAATTGAATAAATTGATACAGTATTATCTACAAAACATGGTCAGGAAGGGGGGTAGTCACAGTATATGCTATATTTGATACCCCAATACAGAACTTAATTTCTTGTAAATCAGATACAATATTGCAACTTTTATTACATATCAATCAAAGCAGCTGTCAGGGGAACCTCCCCTTCGGCCCCTCGGAGATGATTCCGATTCCGGTCTGATTCCGGTTCCCCTTCATCTCGCACGCACAATCATCGATCTGTCAACGCCCTCCCAACAGTCGCCCTGGGACCTTGCCTGCGATGCCACCCAGGCCTTCTTTGCCCGACAGTGGCAGCTACGGACGAGCAGTATATAGTCAGCTACCGAGCAGGCGGACCCTTAGAGTTTCTTCTCTTTGGATCCTCCCCTGCTAGGTCAGCTTCATTTGTATTTGCTTACCAATGTTCATGCTTTGGATCCTCCCCTGCTCAGTGTTGGCTCTAAGCTCTAAGGCTTAGAGGGTGTCTAAGCCCCTAAGGCCTTAGACTAAGGCTTAGGCTAAGGCTTAGATATTGGCCGAAAATCTTCGGAGAGCTTAGAGGGCTTAGAGATTGCGTAATATGTATGACCTATGATCGACGCAGCTGGCAAAAAATTCATCGATTATTATCGGCCCATCTTCCGGATCCCGACAAAGCACGGCCGTCTTCTCGTAAATTCCGTCGACTCTTGGCGCGTCGAAATGGCTGGCTGGGTTGCAGAGTCGATGTGCACGAGGGTTTCGGCTCGTGTGCGGGCAGACACCGAGCGCTACATGCGTGTGATAGCAGAATTGGAGGCGGAGGATGATACTCTTGATTCAGGAGCTATTGAAATTGACGATTCGGAGGTCTACCAACCATAGTTTGCATGTATATTGCAAAAATTAGAGCCATCAAAAATTTCCTTTTTGGGACTCTAAGCCCTTAAACCCGGCTAAGCCTTCTAAGCCCTAAGCCTTAGCCTAAGCTCTCAGCCCTTAGACCCTGGGGAGGTAGGTTTTTAAGCCCTTAGGGCCAACACTGGCCCCTGCTAGACCTTTTGATCTCAGGCCTCCGGGGTTGCCCTCACAGCAGCAAAAGAAGGTTATTGTTTTGGACCACTATTTCTTATATATAAATTCTGCTCAGGGGATCATTTTTGGCTGAAAACCTGGTGTGAAGCTTCCCTCTCAACCACTGTTCCCATAAATCATATGTAATATTGATGAAAACTTTTTGAACACAATTATTACCTGAAATAACTTTATACTACGGTATTATAAAATTCCCACCATGTCTTCGGTGACTAGAAATTAAGAATCTACTAGAATATCTTGAGAGAGCGTGGGAGAAAGTGTTAGCATCGTGACTCGCCGCTGATCTTATGTCATACTGTCATTGCAGCGCGGATCGACGATGATCAGCGCGCGGCCAGCGGGGATCTACCACGAGCGCATGCTAGCGCATGGCCATGGCCGGCGCCCGAAGTGAGCAATTCGCTGGAATTCACAGTAAACGGAATGTGGAGCTGTTGCAAGCATTCAATGGGAATAATTATATTATCATCATCCGTGACGTCCCAACAAACATGTACTTTTTTTATCTAATCAGGCGCCTTTTGGTCGGCATCGCGAGCTTAAGCGCAGAAGGTGATCTAAAACGAAACGCGTGAGCACGATCGGCGCGAATAGGGGGAGTGCACGTACGACGAGGTTGACGTCGTTGCTCTGGCATGCAACCTGGACGTGGGTGTCCGAGGGGACGCGAAACGCGGTGGGGCAGTTCGGGCCGTTGCCTATGGAACGATTTGTCAGTTAGCCGGGTCACGGCGGAGGACGAAGGGGCACGCACAGTTGGCTCCGGCGCCGTCGCAGCCGCGGTAGTACCCGAAGCCGGTGGTCACCGAGAACGAGTGCCTGGTAAAGGATCAGCCGCATCACGCGGAGGAGGGGGAGCACGTACGGGGGGATGAGCGAGATGTCGGTGCTCGAGCCCGAGCCGGGCGAGGTCGGGTTGACGAGAGTGGTCTCGACGGTCGTGCAGCGCTCTCCGTTGAACAGGCAGTTGCCGGTCTGGAGGTACGCGATGGCGGACCAGAGCGGGCCGTTGCTCGTGTACGCGCCGCCGCTGGAGAGGACACGGCTTCCCTGGATGAGCTGGGGGGTACCGAAGCCGCAACTATGCAAAGTCAGAAGTCAAGCCAGAGGCAACGGAGCAAGCACCGCACCGGTTGTCGAATGTCACGGTGTGGGTCTCAGCGCTGACGCCCGCGATGGCGACGGCGAGGACAGAGAGGGCGGCGGCGGCGAATTTCATGATAGAACTGTGAGGTTGTGGAGAGGGAGGAGAAAACTCTTGCTGCAAAACTGAGACTTTGTGTGCTGCTTAAAAAGCAGCTGCGTCCGGCCTGTGTGAAAAGAAGTTGGTTGCGCGAGCCAGCACATGGATGGCGAGATTGTGTTTGGGTGATGGATGGATCGGAGTCATTAGACGCGTACCGGGTAAATCTTCAGCGGCGTGCTGCTGAGTTGCTGCTGGGTGATCCTTCGCTGTTGCTTTGCTGTAAAGGTAAAGACACGGCCAAGGCGCAGCGCGAGACCGCTAACCTTCGGGTAGAGGGCTCCAGATGCTTCGCTGATCCGCCGACGACATGCGCATACTGGAACATATGGTAGTATTTCAACGAGTAAGTATATGGTGATTATAATCGAACAAATACCTATAGCATATGAAACTGCAGTTCCTCGTGCTTGACGAGGCCAGCGAAGAGCGCTGTCAGCCGTGTGCCCGTCGCCAGCGCGACGGCGGACGCATGGTTCGGATCGTCCGTCTGGGCTGATAGAACGGTGGCCTCGAGTCGGAACGGCCTGTGGACGTGCGCCCGTGATTCGACCATCGTAAGCAGCGCAGCATCAGCACACTCGAAGAATGCCCGAAGTGACATATAGCGGAGATCACGGACAAGGCACTCGCTGCCCGCGTCCGCGGCCCAAGAAAGCCGGCTGAGCAGTTGGTCGGTAACCACAAGATGCTTCGGGTCGTGCACATCCTCCAGCGCCAGCTCCCGGAGCGCTGACAGGCTGCGCAGAGATGCGATCAGCTCGTCATGCGTGATCAGGACGTCCGCAAGCCGTAGCCGGGTGATTGACGAAGATCGAAGGCAAAAGGCGGAGAACGCCTCTTGGGGCCAGAGCAGCGCGGTGGCTGAGGCACTGTGGATGACGAGTTGGCGCAAATCGGGTAGGTTGAGGAGGGCCAACAACGACCCGATGATACGACGAGTTGGTGGCGCAGCGTCGTCGATGTTTGAAATCCCAATCCGCAACGCCCCCACGTTAGAAATGATGGTGGGGGACGGAGGGAGTGTCCACCGTGTGGTCATATCGAGGTGGATTTCGGGAATGACAACAGTGCACAACGTAGAGCAGTGGCCAACGAAGCCGAAGATGCCCTGCAACTCGTCGGCGTTGGACGCAAGATGGCCGATATAGCTGAAGATCTCGCGAATCTGACTCCATGGGAGGAGCGGCGGGTCGTCGTACACGGTCACATGAGACAGCAGGGGCGCGTGTTGGAAAGTGTCCAGTTGTTCCATGCCGGTCAACGACATGTCGAGCAAGTCGAGCGTCTCGAGGAGGGGAAAGCGCGGCCGCGCGGCGGAAAGCAGCTCAACGTGCGCGTGCGACAGGGCAAGTTCGGCGTTCTCCCAACGCTCGCATTGGTCTAAAAGCGTCTGGAATAAGCCAAGCGTCCACATCGGCCGCAGCTGGACATGCACATCAAGTGGAAGCCCGGCCGAACGCTGCAGAGAGACCGCGATGAGATGTTCAGCGAGGGCAGGCGGAACGCTGTCGTCGATGTTGGCATGGATATTCGTCCACAGCTGCGGTGTCTTGTGCACGAGCGAGTGCCAGAGGTAGCACACTCCCGTAATGCGCACCACGCGGGCATTACCAAGCCGTTCGAGCCGCGTTTCGTTGACACTCGGCAGCGCAATCAGCGCGACGAAGACCTTGCCCAGCAATTCGGGCGGCAGACGGCGGATGGGCGCGAGCAAACTCTCCGTTGCACTCGCATATCGCTGCAGCGACTCCCGTGCCTCTTTGACCTGGGAGATTTCCGTTTCCTTCGCAGCGATGACCGCGTCAAATCGCGCGACTTCGGTCGTGAGCCCACCGAGTAGCTGCTGCAGGTGTCGCGCGTCGCCGCTGCCGGGGGTCGTACCAGACCGGAGGAGGCCGATGACAGCCGCGTGCTGCAGCTGGGTTTGGGTTTGGGCGGGAAGCCCAGAGGGCGATGGGGGAGAAGGAGTGGGGGGACTAGTGTCCATGGGCGGAACAGTCGGGAGAAGCAGCGGAGCGCGGGAGCGCCGCCTACTTATCAGTCTCCCCCACCGTCTCTGGTATGTTCGAGCAAGGGCTCGACGGGCACAGAAACATACCAGAACGACGCGGACCTTGCCAGACCCTATGTCGGACGCGCCGCCGGTCTGCTCCGAGGTGCACCGCCACATTATAGGGGCGACGCGCCTGAGGCTGGCGTATTGCGCATGCGCATCCACTAGGTGCTAGTGGTGTGAAGCAGGCTTTCGGTCTTCTTGCTGAAGATCGTGTGGTGGTTGACAGTGAAAACGTGATGCTGTGACGTGACGTGACGTGATTGCCTGTGATTGCTGTGTCGTGTGACTGTCAAGAAGCCGTCACGCGAATGATGATCCGCCATAATAAGGTGGTGTCCTAGAATTTTAGTACTTTGATGGCAATGGATGCTACTTTTTGGGTTGTGGGTCACTGGTCATTACAGCTAAATACATCTCTACCTTCAAGTTTTACAATGTGGAGTTTAAGTATAACTTCAACGCGGCGTGTATCCATGAGAGATCCGAATTGAGCATTGCGAGCGAATTGGGAGGTCAGTCAAGTAGTCACTCATGTTACGGGGCGAGCGACAGCTTCATCGAATAGGCATCTTCTTTGTCTGCATCTATAAGCGGCTCAGCGACGACTAAGTACAACGGATTGACAGCACGCACAGTATCCCGCAACTACCTTCTCCACATCGAAGCCGAGCGCATCGCGGTACAGCCCGAGCGCTGCGGCGTTTGACTTACGCACGTGTAGCGAGACGTACTCCGCACGGTACACCGTCGCCATCGCGTGTTCTCGCGACGCATTTGTCAGCCAGAGGCGGTGTGGCGAGCAAGAGGACGCACGGGACTGCAGCATGAGCTTCTTCGCGAGGCCGAGGCGGCGGTACGTCCGGAAAACTGAGAGCGAGTTGATGTGCCCGTGCGTGGCGCCTGGTCCGTCACGATTGCCCGCGCCATCCTCATCGTCGTCTGGATCGGTGCTAAGTAGTTATGCGGCCCCGTCAAACGATAGGCAAGCTCGAACAGGCAGGTGACGCACATCTTTGCGAGAACATAGCCGACGATGCGGCCTTTGGCGTCTTCAGCGACAAACGAGATTTGCGGCCAGCTTAGTAGATGGTACATCCCTGGCCACAACTATCGGTCAGTACAACCTCCAGTATCACGGCCCGCACACAGTTTCTGGGTGTAGTTCTCTGGAAGGTTCACGAGGTTGCCAGCCTGCATCGCGAGCAGGTCGTCTGCCTGGACGCGGTCAGCCGGAGTGACAGAGGGCGGCGGGGTGGCGTAAGCGCCCAAGCCAAACGAGGGATGGATGGCGGGACGCACCTTCGCAAGGCGGATGTTCATGAGGGGAGAGATTTGGAAGAGATCGATGTCGGTGACGTAGGGGCATGATCTTCGCAGTCATCGCTTGTCACATACGCGTCACGGTACGCGTCACGGATGTGTGACAAGCTATGATCTGATAGCCATAACTTATAAGTAATACAAGTGTAACGTCCGTGCCTATGGCATGGAGCAAATGAAAGAGCTTTTGCAGCGCCCACACGGCTGCTCGCCTGCGGCTCGCAGCCGGCGGGCGGTATCTGAAGGTTGGTCACATGAAATTCACATGCTATCAATCAAAATGCATGACTTTTTGCGTGACTTTCTGTCATTACGCGATTCCAGCTGTTTTCATATATAAGATGATTTAAGGAGGCCCGACAAGCAGCTGAGCACAAACTGACTGCAACATTAGTTGAATATTGAGCTTTGCAAAGTTTGCATAAATAGTGACTAGTAACCATTGAAGCTGAATCAATAAGAGTGACTTGAAATACTCTAATGGGTCCAAGATGTTTATCACAGCCATGGGGTGTATAGAATGCCTACTACTTTCCTATGGAAAGGCCTTCAACACCTTAAATTTAACTGAATTAGGAGAGGGGGTCCCAGATGCTCTGAAAAAACTTTCAATAGTATATCTGATTTTCAAAAGTTGGGACCCTTATACTACTCAAGGGGGTATCACATATCAGAAAGTGAGAGATGGTCAGTTGACCACCCTCCAGACCCTTGAAAAAAAAAAAAATTCTATAGAAACCTTTTGGCTAGAATTATGAGTTAAAAATGCCTTAGGAAGGGTTACAAATTGTTTAGTACACTCAAGGGGTATGCGCCGGTGCAAGCCGAGAAGTCAGGGGGGAGGGGAGGGGGGTGGTCTAGTGGCCTTAATTCACTTTTCTTTTGTATGGTACAGGTAGCTGGGAATGCTATTAATGGTCTCAGAATGTATATAATTCTTATTGAAAGCAGATTTTGGGGTTGTTCTGAGACATGTACAATTATTTTTGATGAGAATTTCCTATTTGGCTGGTGATGACTCGGCCACCTCACACCCAAGTAACACCTGCCCATGGCCAAGGGGGTATCAGAAAAGAAAATAATGGAACATACGTTGGACTTTTTGTTTAAGCCCTTCCAGGGGACCCACCGACCGTGACTGTGACGTGACATTACCATATTAGGAAGGTAATTCACACAGTCATGTGATCTGATAGCATCAAACTCAGTCAGTCCTCTGAATTTCCAAGAACATTAAATAGAAACATAGACTTCTAGCTATATATATATCTTGTAGACAAAGTTCTGATATAGTCATTGTCTTACAAATCTCACTCCAGAGTACAGATATCCATCCCCATATGGTCTGATTTGTCACAATGTTCCATCTGATGATGAGATACTGAAAAATAACTACTTGTGAGATTGTTGATACTTAATTATGGATGTATAGTGCACCAAACAGTACTTGTAACCCATCCTAAGACAATTTTGACTTACCATTTCAGCCAAAAAGTTTCTACCAAAAAAAATTTTTAAGGGTCCGGAGGGGACCGACCGACCATCCCGGTTGTCACTTTTTGACACGTGACACCCTCTTGCCTATGGCCAAAATTGGTCTTGCAATGATGCCTGCAGGTTGAATGTTGGTGGAGGGCACAAGAAGGGACAATATATATAGAGCAAATTAGTAGTACTGCATGAGATTCTCACCAGTTTCTGGCACCCATCAAGAAGTTCCCTTTCTGGGACATCATGTGCGATCACGTGGCATGATGTCACACAGGGAGGGGGGTGTCCTGCAGTTGCTAATCCACTTTTCCGACCTGATGTCGGGAGTTTCAGAGATGCATACCTCTTGAGTACACTAGTTGTACATAGTCCCAATCACCCAGATCATCAATCATTGCCAGGTTCTTAACAGGCACTTTTGGCTCGACTTCAACCCCGCTTGCTACATTTGCAGGCCTGGGTTAGGAAAACTCCCCCTTTGGACTCTCTGCACCCCTCAGCCTGCCGCTCCACCTTGCCACCCTCCACAGCCTCCCTTGCCCACACTATCACTGATCTGTCAACACCCTCCCAACAGTCACCTCTGCAGGATCCGTAAAGTCCCTATTAAGGTAGGATTCTGAAAATTATTATGGCTAAGATTTGTCTGGATATTTTGGACATCACACTTGACTCAGTTTGTCCAGATTTGGATCAGACACCACCAAAATACCAATTTTTTGTCCAGATTCTGTTTTAACCTCTAAAAAACGCCAAAAGTACTAAACACATCGGGGATTTGCGCAAGAACGGCGGCCCGAAGCAGGACTTATTTGTGGGAAAACCGGCGCCAAATGGGGTCAGCCAATTGGATTTAAATCAAGGCCGCGGATTTTCCACGCACGTGACTCGGAAATTACCTTATTTGGTAATTCCCAAGTCACGTGCACCCAAATCAGGGCCGTAACAATCGGCCCCAGTTATTTGGGCCTGTATCTGCCACAAATAAGTCCAGCTTCGGGCCGCTTTTTTTCACCAAAACCCCGATGTGAAAAGTGGCTGAAAAAGCTGCTTCCATTGAAATTTTATGGAAAGGATGATATTTCCACGAAACTCTAATTCCCCCCCCCCCTCTTTGGCACCTGATTTTGTGTTAAATTTGACATTTGTACCTCTGTTGTTTAGATTCAGATGATTTCTCTGCCCCAACCTGGCACTTTGTCTGGATTCGGATCTGACCTGTCCAAGCCCCAATTCTCTTGTCTGGATTGTAAATTAAAGATGTCTGCTTTGAGATTGATTTTTGTCTGGATTCTGGTCAGACCCTCCATCAAAATTTGCCAAAATTTGTCCAGATTTAGGTAATCCTACCTCAGTAGGAATCCTCCTTCTGCATGGAGCAACAATCATCCTTGGCGTGTTAGACATACAGTATATATACTCAGCAGCCTAGTCGGCGGACTCTCAGAGTTTCTTCTCTTTGGATCCTCTCCTGCTAGGACTCTGATCTCTAAGCCTCCAGGGTTGCCTTTATAGCTAGACAATTTGTCTGTTCTGTTCCAAGCACATATTTAAGAGTCTTGAGAATTTTCTATAAAAGTATAAACATTGAGCCTCTGAAAAGTGCCTGTAAGTCAGATCAGGATTCTATAATTTTTATTATTTATATTTTGTCTTAGACTCTCTCTAACAGCTTCTTAATTTGGCAATAGTGCACTATTTTGATCAATTTGACATGTTACAGTGATGAGATTTTTTTTTTTGAAATACTGATAATATTTTTTTTCTGGATTTTTTTTTTTGGACTTTTGTTGAGTTTTGTAAGGGCAACCCTAGAGACTCGACGAAAGCCTAGCAGGGGAGGATCCAAAGAGAAGAAACTCTAAGGGTCCACCTGCTAGGGCGCCAACTATATACTGGTCGTCCGTAACTGCCCACGTAGAGCGCAGAAGGCCTGAGCGGCATCGCAGGCTCTGTCCCAAGGTGATCGTTGGGAGGGTCTTAACGGATCGGTGATTGTGCAATCTGCCCACATTGAACAAAATAGTACAGTACTATGAATTGACCAAAGTCATATTTTGAATTAAATATTGACTGTTGGAATTTTTTTTACAGCTGAGAAGACTATGTTCTGGGTGAAAATAGTCTTAGTGGCCTTTATTCAATGTTAAGTAGGCTTTTAAGGTGCAAGTATAATGTGAACCATTTGATTGAACTTATACAGTTCAGAGTCATATAGTATTCACGGTGAGGATTCACGCAAAAACAGGGGCCCAAAGCAGCCGATTGGAGTCAAATCAAGGCTGTGGATTTCCACGCATGTGACTCGAAAATTATCAAATAAGGTAATTCCTGAGTCACATGCGCAGGGATCGAGGCCCATGATTTATGTAAGAATTGGCCCCAGTTATTTGGGCCTGGATCTGCCACAAAAAAGCCCAGCTACGGGCGGCCGCCTTTTTTTTCTCCGAAACACCGATGTGATTGGTATACTCAGCCAACATAATTAAAATAATCAAAATTCCAGACATCAGTCCAAATACGGTCAAAACTGGATATAAGCACAAAAGTGAATCATAGTTAGATTTCTATTTGTATGACCTTCAACTTCCGAGTACCAACTACACCTGCCCTGCATGTCATACAAAAGTTCAGACTTCCTATGGACTTCCAACGTTGATCCCAATATTTGATTAAACAGCGATAAATGCCTTCATAATTCCATCGATCATCGGCGGTCACTCCTGCCCGCGATACATCACTCGAATGGTCAGCTCAGATATGATACATTGGGTGCGTTTTTGTGCGGCAAGGTTGTCGCCAAGTTCCAGTTGCTCCAGATTTGAACCTAGAGTAGTATCCTCGAGGATGAACTAATAGTCCGGAAGGCACCTAGACATCCAGACATTCACGATGCCGGCTCCTGTTAGCTTCGAAGTGCCTCGGCAACACACTTGATCGACGTCTGCACACTGTCGGATCATTTTTCCGGGATGGATCGACGCCATCTTAGTCACCACTTCACTTCTTGCTTCGTCCCACCATGTGCTGCGCGTCTCGCTCTCGCCTCCGCGGGCGCTGTCGTGAAACTGCCGTGCAGCGCTGCATGCGCGTAAACATCGTCTTGGAACACTGCTGAACGCTCACAAGTCGGGTGCGGCACTCCAGGTTGTTGACAAGAACGCGGGCGAATGAATGGAATGTATAGAGTCGCCTCCATATGGCTGATGCATCGGCATGTGAGCTCGCGTGGAAGGTATGCATCACATCTCTCCTCCGCAAGATGTCTATGGTTCCGAATTCGCCTCCGGCGACCCCAACGCCTTTAAAAGGCGGCGCCAGAGCAGCAAACGACAACACATTCACTCGCCATGTACTCTGTTAAAGCCCTCCTCGTCGCCCTCGCCTTCGTCGCCACCACCGTCGTCGCCGAGACCCCCAATCTCAAGCGTCAAGCTGGTTCCCACCCCGTGCGTTGCTACCTGCCGTTTTCCTCGACGTCCGCCTGACGACCTTCCACAGTTCACTTTCGTCAACAAGTGTGGCAGCACGGTGAACCCTGTCATCGCCGACACCCGCTGCGGCTACAGCCCTCGTGCGTCTCTTTTCCGCCCCTTTAGTTTGTCCTTCCTGACATCGTTGTTCGCTCAGGCTGCGGTGACGCCGCCTCGTTCTCTGGCCAGCAGCCCGGCCAGATCGGCGCCGGCCAACGCAAGACCGTGAACATCGACGCACGCGTAGGCGCCCTCCACTCCATCCTCTAATGACTGCATGCTTATTGAATCACCCAGTGGGTCGGCCGCATCTTCAACAAGCGTGGCCAGTGCGGCCCCAAGGGCGAGAGCTGCACCCTCGGCGAGTTCAATCTCGGTTCGTTTCACTCCTCGCGCCAATCATGCGCTAACTCTGCTGAATGACAGATACCGGCGACCAGTGGACCCCGCAGGCCTACGACATCAGCAACATCCAGGGCTTCACCGACTCCATCCAGATCTCCGCCAACGGCTGCGACACCGTCACCTGCACCAACGCTAACTGCGGGGTGCGTCCTGTCGACTCCTTCGTGATGTATTCCCCCTGACCTTTCCCTGCTAGTGCCGCAACGCCTACCCCATCGGCGTACGCCCGCTTCTCCCCTAAGCTGCCAATTATCTCACCCTTTTCAGGACACCAGCGGCTGCGGAAACGACTCGCCCGTCCGCGGATGCGGCGCCGGCGCGGTCCCCTTCACCAGTACGTTCTATTTTGGCAAAGAAATTCGGGGAGTGCTGACTCGCTGCAGTCACCTTCTGCCCTTGAACGTGATGCAAAAGCATCGGTAAAAAAGGAGGGCGTCGTACCTTGTAGTGACATACTCTGTGTGTGAGGCCGAATATATTTAAACTGCGCATTTTGGGTCTATCAACTTTCAACTCTTGTGAGGTGCAAGCGACACATTATACTTAAGTGCGATGCTTGATAGCTGGATATACTACACACGCGTATGGGACCTTGTCGGCGAAGACAGACAAAAGGCGCGTCGCATGTAGGATTCGAACGGACGGTGCCGACTGAGTCCGCCATCAATCAACGTCACGGCGCCAGCATTACACTTCTTGTCTCTCTCCACCATGGAGCATCTGCTCACAGCACGGACACTGTCGAACTTTAGACTCTTAGAACGGGTCGCTTGGGACTGCAAGTGCGTATCCGCCACTTTACCTGCGCTTTGGCTTTGACCTCGCGTCAAAGATGATCCAAAGCGCGATCGTATAAAAACATGGCATTGTGGGGATGAGCTGGGCCATTACACTGCTATCTCGACCATGTCGCTCGCCACTCTTCCCCTCGAACTTATGGACGAAATCGCCTCTCACGCAAGCTCCGCGTCACTGAAAAAGCTTGCACTACTAGGAGACACGTCGCTACACCGTGCTGCGCTGCGACAGCTCTACCGTGTCGTCCAAATAGACAGCGTCAGTGTGCTGGAAGGCTTCTGCAATACGCTGGAACTGCGCGCAGATGTCCATGCATCCTTGCGCAACTTGACGATGTGCGTTGTTTACTTATATCTCCGTATGTGGCAAGCTTTCTGAACATCTGGTAGTAACATAGACGACTCCTTCATGTTCTGTGGCCAGCTTGGCGCCGTTTCAACCCGCATAGAACGGCTTGCCACCCTCCGTTTTCACACGCTCACGAGCCTCGCTACGAGGAGCGCGCTGATCATGTCCTTGTTTGTCAGCGCGGACGCCGCCTTCCCCAGTCTCACTTCCTTAGCTGCCCCGCTGTTCCCCGAGCTCCCAGCCTTCCTCACCGCGCACTGCGGCATTGAACATCTGCATATCACCTGCACGCCATTTGCCGAGTCAGACACAGAGTTTAAAGAGGCCATGATCCCCGCCACACCGCCCCTCCCCCGGCTCAGAGTACTGCACGCCCCGGAGTGGCTCGTTGCATCCCTGCTTCTTGCCACTCCTCACACTCCTCTCGAAAAGCTAACGATCATCTGGACCCATCCGTACGCACGCTTCACAGGCCGCCTTTCGGTAATCCAGCAGCAATTCACGTGCGAATGTCTCGACCATATCTGCCACACCGCCGCCACGACGCAACTGCACCATGTGGGGCACATCCTCCACGGCTGGACTGCGGTCGACCCCGTCCACATCGCGCAGGCCTTCCCCCATCTCGCGTCGTTGTCCTTTCGTGGGGCCGCCCCCGTCGCGCCACTCACGAGGCTCGGTTCGCATGGTCTGCCAGGGGCAGATATCGAGGTACGCAAGCTCCGTTGCCGCTGTCAGCATCACTGACACCGGAACCAGTGGTTCTCCGCACGCCTGCGTGCCGCGCTTCCGTTACTCGAAGAGATTGAGCAGGTCCGCCTTGGGTTCGAAGAGCTTTCGCCGCTGGTGGAAGAGGAGTTGGACATCCTCCAGGAAGACTGTCGCGCCATGTATCCCTGCTTGGAGGTGATTGTGGAGGTCAAATGACTTCAGCTTGTATATTATCAAGGACCAAGGTCAATTTATTATAACCTACTACTAGTACGAGTAACACTCCCAAGAGTTCAAGTTGCACACAGTGTGACGTGCGAAAAAAATGTAGACACCGCCCAAGAAACGACTCTGACTCCTCCAAGACCGCTGTCTGTGTGTAGGTTCCAATTACTGAGAGGCTTCGAACGGCTCAACAACGACATCAAGCAAGTTCTTCTGCGCCAAGCCCGGAAAACGCTGCCGCAATACCTCCCAAACCGGCTGCACCTGGGCCTTGTTTAAGTTGTTTTTTATGACCTGCTGCCCATCGGACACCTGCAAGACCAACACGAGCCTGACTGCCAGCATATCCTTCCGGCTGTTAAGGCTATCATCCAAACTGCGAAGTCCAGTGTGGACGGCCCCGGTGTCATAGCGCAGGACACTGACCAGCATGCGCACACAACGCGGAATGTCTTGGTATTCAGAAGTCGTCAGGACGAGTGTCTCCAGGCGTGGGGACGCTGATGGACAGACGAGCGGTAGGACGGTCGTGGCGAGCAGCCGGAGGAAGTACTCGCGGTCGCTGAGCACGTGGTACAGTGACTTGAAGGCGAGCGTGAGCTGTGTGAGGGCAGGAAAGTATCGTGGCTTGGTGATATGGCTGGGATCGATGCGTATTCCTGAACAGACTGTAAGCTATAAGGCCCGTATGATCTCGGTGCGTACCACACATGAGGAGCTGGAGATGCTGGAGATTGCCGGCTACCGCTCTAGCGAGAGACATCGACTCTCCAAAGATGGTATCGAGGTCCAACAGGGCAACAAGTTTGTAGACACTGTGCAAGGAAGGCAGGAACTCCGGGTGAGTCAGCCCTGACCCCATTGGCGCCCTGGTGCGCAGGCCATTGGCATCGCTGCATCGAAGTTCGAATGGATTTGTGGGGTACCGGTATGGAAGTGTATCATTGGACTCAGCATCGCCTACTGTGACGACACTGAATTCAAGCTGAGCAAAGGGCGCCAATGCCCGGAAGATGCTGTGGATAATGTAGCGCGGCACTCTAGAGATAGACACAAGGCGGACACATCGCAGCGTGCCACCGGGAACCAGCGCGAGCCATTCGGCAAGTGCGTCGCTCAGCGGGTCCTGGTGGCTCGTCCAGCGAATGTTGTCGCCAAAGAGAATCAAAGAGCCAAGTCGGGTGAATCGGGAGAGAAGCGCTGTTACAGCACTGACCCCTAGAAGCTGTTCCGAGTCGGCAGGCCTTCCAAGCGTGAGGGTAAGTTTGACGACAAGGGAGGCAAGGTGGGGCCAGCGCTCGAAACGCGCAACCGCCTCGGCATAGCTTCTCATTGTCCCGAGCGAGAGCGAGCCCAAGAGGCGTTGTTGGCACGGCGTGCGGAAGATTGAAGCTGCGAGGCAGCAAGACTTGAGAGTGTCACGGTCCTGTTCGTCGACCTCGTTCACGATGGCACCAATGAGCTCAGGCGGTAGAGAGATCATAGTTTGAGCTTTCAAAAAGAGTGTCGATGAGAGGTGGAGGAAGAAAAGGAGTACTTACGTGAGATTGATGTCACCCTCTGATTATGATGTCACGTAGGCAGCGGCCATTCCAATCCTCAATGGATTAGAATAAATTTAAAAGCGGAAGATTATTTAATCGCAAGGGGTCTCCGACAGATTCCTCTAAAGTCAATGAGCTTGTTTTCTGCCCTAGCAGAATACAACTAGTAGAATGTTTACTGAGTAAGCTGTAATCCTTTAATTTTGTTCTGTGGCAATTTAAAATTGAGAGTACAGGATGGTTGAAAGGATTATTTTAAAAAAAAAATTAACCAATTTTGCTGCACCAGAATTAATTAGGGCGTAGCACAACCCGTTTTTTTAGGCATTTTTCGATGTCGATTTTCAATACTGTGGAATTTTACTCATTTCGAATGTCATGCGTCACACTGCCGCTATTATACGAATTTTTTTCGCATGTCACACGAATTTCAGCAAAATCACGTCCTAAAATGGTAATTATTGACATTTCTGGGCGCCTCCGGCGCCAAGAGTTGCCTAATTAGGCAGTTATACGAATTTAAATTTTCGTATGCGATGTCACACGTAAAATGCCATTCGAATCGAGTAAAATACTACAGTAATGTTTCTTTTGTCACAAAAGAAAAAAATCATTTTTTGGTTGTTTTCTAAAAGCAGCTCCGGAGCTCCTTTTCAAAAGCAACCTGCAATTTTTGAGATCGTTTTTTTTGGCTATTTGCTGTGGCCAGGCCTGTTGATGTAAGTGTCCGGCCACTATATTGCCTGCTAATAGATTGGGATCATGACCAGACATGTCACATTAATGACAGTGCCCACTGCCGTTCTTGCCCACTGCACCACAGACTCGACGGAGGCTGCGTTGCCAAATTGGCCAAGTCAGAAGAGGGTGATGGGCTGGTGCTCAAATGGAAGCTGGGGGGTTGTTGCCGCCGTGGAAGATGGAATGGCCAGACAGGGCCGGCACCCACCATTTGGCTCAGAACAGAAAAATGACAGCTGTTTTTCACGTTTACACTTTTTTTGGCTCATTTTTATGACACTCTTGTAAGGGCAACCTACATCAGAGTCCTGAGCAGAGGGGGGAATCCTACTACAACAGGAAGGGATGCTACAGACTCACCTGAGCAGAGGGGGAATCCTCACAGCTGTGTTTCAAAAATGTTGAGGGTGGGAACGTTAGTGGGAAGAGGCAAAGTTTTTTAACAAATGTTTCCATCATACAAACTGGACCAAAAAGGTCAAGTTTTCATAAGAGAAAAATTTATTAGACAATCCAAAATTTACAAATGGGTATTTTAGTGCTACAAATGGCAAGTATTATTATAAATGTTCTTTAGTTACAAAGTCATCTAAAAAGATTGGGCTTTTCTACTAGTTTTGAGACCAAGGGAAAATGTATTGTAAAATGTAAACTATTAGAACAAGTGTTTTCAAGTGGAAAAACTTTAGTTTATTAACAGTTTTTTAGGCCTGAAAAACATAATAAAACACTTTGAATGGTAGAATCAGTTTTCTGATGCGGAAAATATTAGACTTTTCAATGAGTTTTTTGGCCTGGAAAATTTCAAATATTCCAATACATTTTTTTGACCTGGATTATAAAGACAGGAAAATATTAAATAAATTCAATTGTTGCGTCATTTTTTTGCCCGAATTCGACTGGATCAGGCGATTTTTTGTCGACCTCCACAAGATGATACATTGCTCTGCTGGCTAATGAGAAACCCCCAACTACAGTCTCCTGGTCAACGCTGATGCCCGCCTACATGTGACAAATGCTAGTGGGATTCCGGGTCACCGGACGGCCCCAAATGGCCAGTGTGTCAAGCCGACGGGCTGCACCCGGGCAGGACAGGCAGTACGATGACACATGCAGCCCGCCAGCTGCAGGTGGTTGTCATTTCCCCCATTGTGCCGGCGGGGAAATGATCACCAACCATGAACGACTGGACGATAAATCGTTGGGTCGGGCGAAATCGCGCCGGGCGATCGGGCGAAATTGCCAGGTGGTCGGGCAAAAAACGCCGGGTAAGACTGGAACTAGCTCCCTCGGACAGACTTGCTTTGGCATAGCTTTTGGTGCCTCTGAGGCCCCCAAAAGCCAATGTACGACGAGGGACTGCTTTGGGAACCGTGAAATCGGGCCCCCACACTCCCGTACCTGGGCGCGATCTGAACGGCAGCCAATTGCGGCTGCCATCGAGGGTGCTTCCGACGCTGGCCACGGTTGTGTTGTCGGGGGGCGTGTGTGCACTGAGTAAGGAAAGGGAGACTGAGACCCGCCCATGCACGGTCTTCTACCCGGGGTCCGATAGTGCCGTGAAGCGTGTGTTGACGCCAGGGGCCGCAAACACCTCAGTGGTGAGTGTTAAGGGGAGTAAGTAGGTAAATGTTGCCGTTGGTGGAATAGCGAGCAATTCGGCGGAGCAGCTGATCTGCCCCAATCGGCCCTTTTGTCGGCGTGATGTTGCCTGACTGGGCGATTTATCGTCGGATGCGTAAATTGCCGACTGGGCGAAATCGGCGGCCACCCCGGTAATACACGTAGAAAATGAGCAATCAAGGAGATCACTGGGACCTTCAACCTAACTATTCAAATCCTAATTTTGTGTGATTTGTGTTCGGGGTTCGAGCCGCAGGAAACGGCTAACAGATTCAGATGTTCTTATTGATATCAGTAGTTTGTAAGATGTTGTGTCAACTTGTATTGATGTTTTCACTTATGGTGAACAGAAATAGCAGTTGATTGGTGAGGAGTTTAGATTTGAGAGGAGCAATATGGCTCTACTCTCCTAGCACTTGCACTTGCACTTTGCACTTAAAACTTGCACTTTGCACTTAACTTGAACTTGCACTTTCACTTTGCACCTAGCACTTGCACTTGAAATGATATCTAAACTTCAACAAACCCAACTGATGTGACTATGGTAGTGGTCACAATGAACAGGTCTGATGGGGATTTGATCCCTTGTTCTATTCTTATGGAATTTACAAGGCTCCTTATATACTACTCTAGAAATAATTATGTAATGTGTGACACTGTGACCTGATCCGCTGATCCGCCTCTAGAATGTTCTAGTTCTGGATTCTGGAATGTTCTAATATTTTACCTGGTTCAGAGTTGCCAAATACAGACATGTTACCACTTATTCGGTTCAGTTTCTAGACCAGGTCTATGTCTAGAATTGGTCCAGAACTGTGTAGACCGCTTGGCTGGTCCCTTCTGGAATAGATCAAGAGTCTAGAACAATTCTACTGGAAGTTCTATATATATGGCATGATTATTGTGCTTCAAAATGAATTTATAGAGCCCTCCTGGCATTATTCACCGGTTGTCATATTGACGGCTCATTACCGGCGATTTTGCTCTCAAGACCTTTTGATAATCCCAAAGACCCAGTAATCTTGCGCTCGCTATTGAGAGCCTTCCTGCAGTATTTCTGGGCAAGCAGTCACGCTCCATATA